AATTATAAATATGCATAGTGTTCTGAAGAATTATAATTTTATAAGATGAAATTTTCTTAAACAAAATTATTCTTTAATTTTTGTTAATTATGGGAATACATTATTTTTAATTTTTCCCTGATTCTCACTACCACTAGATCACGACCATGTGAGCATATACAGTGATTTCATTTTGTTATTATCTTTTATACGGTGCGTATAATGCGTTTAGAAAGTTCATGTACATAAACATTTTCTCTTTATCCACCATGGTAGAAAGTACAACACGTAATTTAATTAGGAATGAAATGATTAAGTAATCTTGTTTTACAGCCACAACTATATATTATCGTCAAGTCTTAATCTATCTTTTATTAGGCAATAGTCTTAAATCTAGCTTTTAAGTTTTTACATATGGAAACATGTGTAGATTAATTAATGGGTTAGCTATACGACTCTAAAATATTTAAAGACCACATTTATCTAAGGAATTTTTGTTCTTTTAAGATCCAAAAATTTATAATAATGAGTGAATAATATGCAGGGTTGTTCATGTATTCACCTTTTAAAAAACGTGATTTCACTGATCACATACCATTTTAAAAATATACATATAAGAAATCATCTTTCTTTCTTTTTAGAAATCATCTTCTTCTTTTTTCAATTTTTGTTTTTAAAATTATCGTCTAGATACTAATTTAGACAATTTAAGGCTCTACATATATTTAGCAGACATTTAAAAAGTCGGCTAAACTCACTAAATTTTAGCAGGATATGGAGATATTTGGCAAAGTTTGCATATATCTTTTTTGGGTTTTCGGAGATTTCATAGAGTTTGAGGATATAGGCCGAGTATGTTTGTATTTGGCAAAGTCTTCTAATATTTTGGTAAAGTTCTTGATATTATTTTGCAGAATCTTTCGATATTGTGGCTGACTCTGCAAATCATTGATATAATCTACATATATTTGGTACTTAACGAAAGTCTGCTAAACTCGCTAGCAGACTCACTAGCAACCTTTGAGACTTTCATTTTTGCAAAATTAAATATAGATCACTCACGGTTACTTAGCTAACCCGACTAGTAACAGTTTTTTTTTTTTTGAATTTAATGTTAAATTATACTCAAAAGAAAAAATAACTGTTTGTTACAATATGATTGCAAAATGTTTTATAATAATCAAGTAAAGAAAGATCTATCCTTGATTTCTTTTTGTTCAAGTTACAGTTATACCGTGAGAGAATCATGTCTACTTCGTAAGGTATATTTTTCTTACTTTATTCGGAATCTTAATGGTCCATATATACCCAACGAAGAACTTAGACTCTTTTTGTCAAAAGAATTTATCTTTTCAAAAGTCTACATCCAAATAACTATACTTCTCGTGAAGACCCAGAGCTAAACCATTACCACTTTCTAAAAAATGACACTTTGTATTTATCTAGTTACGTTGAAAAGCTTTTTAACATGGCTTCATAGATAAAGGGATAAAGATTTTTACATTTTTTCAGATTTTATATTCCGTTAAATTCAATATTGTATATAGTAACTCGATTTTTATTTTATCATTAACAACGCTAATACACCAATTTATTTGTAAAGTTCCCCTTCTACAATTTTTTTTTTTTGTCAATTAACAACTTTAGATTAAGTAGCTAACTTAAGTAAACCAATTCATTGGAACATTGTTTAAATACATAATATAATGCAAATGTACACAGATATTCCATACAAGCATATCCGCTCTAGTATTATCTATGTCCTAAAAACTGGCCACTCATAACAATATATATATATATATCAGTTTTGAGAAGTCTGTGATTAAAATAATGGCACATATCTACTTTGCAATTAGGCATTTTATTATCTATATATACGAGTGTTTTTACTTTTGTAGACGATGAAAAATACGTCAAAGATTACATGTTTAGATTACATGAATCCATAGTTAGTCCTTGATCGTTCAATAGAAAATAATACCATCCTACTCCTGAACAATATTTACCAATTTTATAATAATCAATGTAACTAAAATGTCTGTAAATAAATAAGTATTTGCTTTGTCTTTTACAAAAGAAATGTATCTGGTTCAATTTCTTTATTGACTGAAAGAAAAACAATTAGTTTTAAATTTTCACAATGCGTAGAAAAGACAGGTTTCTTTATTGACGCAAAAAAAGACAATTGGATTTGAAAGACATATGACTCCTCACATCAGCACCACTTGGTCCTCTAATATTTCATTTTTTGCATATATACGTTTTAAGAAAAAATGTAAAATACAAAAATAATGCAATATCTTCTTCTCGCTGATGTAATAAGAAAATGCAATTCAATTAAAAAACAATGATTATCCACTACACTACTTACCCCATGCACCAGTTTATACATATTTCTATCTTTTTTTTTTTCGACTGAATGATTCAATATATTGATAACTTGTGAAGGAACGGTTACAAACGAACCCAAAAAATTGAGGATCCACGACAATCACCTACATCGAAGAGAATACAAAAGGTACCACACTTAAGTAGTAGACATCTCTTCATTGAACAAGTCATGTAACCAAAAAGGGTAGCCCGTAGCTACGTATGATTGTCGTCGATCCTCTCTTGTCACACTCCGAGCAATAAGGAAAGCTCCTTTGTTTGCACTTCTCTCTTCCAACTGAACTTTCCAAAAGGGAATGAGATTGAAGGCCCTTAACAGTGACTCCGATTGGAACTTAAAAGATGGCCAAGCTGCTGGCCGAAGAATCGCCTCCATAAGATATTTTTCTTCAACGGCCAGCACACATCTTCTAATCTTGAGACTTCTCAAACTTTCCAGTGCCCACATCCAGCATTCAAAATACATATTTCTATCTAGACATAACTTTTATTGGAGAAGATTGATGATACTATAAATAGGAAAATATCAATGGATATGTTCAGAAGATCAAATAATTAAGTATCTATGAATGCTTTTCTTTTAATTAAGTGAACAAGAGAGAGAGATTGATCTTTTGACATTTTTACCCTTTTATTCTACACACCTAATTACTTATCCGATTATTATTTTTGTTAGCGTTTATATAAAATATACATTTTTCTTCTACACACCTAATTACTTATCTGGTTATTATTTTTGTTAGCATTTACACAAAATAAAGTGAAAATGGAGAGGACAAAGAGGTGGGCAAAGAATTTGGGGATGAAAATTATTGTTTAGTAGTTTAAAGTAAAAATAGAGAGAAAGAAGATGAAGAAGAGAGAAAGTGATGAGGTGAACTTAGGATGGAGTTGCAGGTGATAATAGAAGAAGAAAAAAATCTGGGAGACATGATGACATATGGAAAATACTCGAGAAGAGAAAAAGATTTTTTTTAACATCCATGATTAAATATAAGTTAACCGTAATAAACAAATTATCATGATAAATAAATATGCTAATGCATAAGTTAACGAGAATGAATAAATTATCGAAATAAATAAACATATTATTATATAAGTTTGTTGATAACAATCATATAATAAATATATTAGCACGATAAATATAATTTTACTATACAACATGTAAAGTTATCATGATAAAATATAATTTATATTACTAATTACATAAATAATCACCAAAATCACTATTTTTTATTACATCTCGTGATGAATAAAGTTTTTGATATTTGGCTGAACAGTGTTTTTACTTTTTAGTTATCGCGATACAATTTGATTTAAATTGTTAATCAAAAAGATAACCACATAAATCATTATTTCTTTATTTCTTCCAATGACGAATAATATTTTCGACGATAATAACAATGTTATTTTTACTGTTAGAACTAAACTACTTATCTGGTTATTATTTTTGTTAGCACTTTTACAAAATAAAAGGTAGTTTTGATATTAATTGAGTCAGAGGAAAGAGAACTAATAAAAAGATAAGCATGGATAGATTTTTAATTTTTCAGTCTTCTATGCATATCAATTAATATAGCCCAGGAAAATATGTCCATGATAGGCCAAATATTGCGGCTGATGCCTCGGATACCTTTCATTTGTGCAATGTGATGAGTAAGTGGTCGAATAACATACATGATAATAAATTGTATAAACAGCTGTCGTGTATAAATCGAGGCCACAAGTACATATGGAGTGATTTTAATTAACAAATTTAAGTGAGTTAATAAGATGTGTGTTTAAATCTATGTATATTTCAACATAGCCAGTTTCCTTTTATGTGAGACAATATCATCATCATCTTCAGAGCTCCCTCAGTACATTTTATGTTTTTTTTCTACATATTAACATATGTATAGTATATAACGTCTGAGATTTTACTGTATGTCTAATATTATTTGTATCAGATTTTGTTTTCTTTTTTCTTTTTTTTTTCCTTCGTTAAAATTAACTACGTTGTGTTGACACGTCCAAAGTTAGCTATATACAAATAACTACTAATCAGTAATCATTAGTAATATGATATCTGTTAGAATTAGAAACAAATGTTTAAGATTCTAGAATTAAACTCATTATATTGTATCAATAAATAAAAGGTATTATTGGTTCATAGTTTGGTTTGGTAAAAAAACTAGACAAAAACATGAAAAGCTTTTTACCTCTCTCCATGTGTGGAGGTTTTTCTTGACTCAAAAAAAAAAAAAAACAGTTTGGTCAAGAATATTCATTAACTTTCTATAGACACTATTTAATTACACTATAAATAAGAAACCATATAATTATCCAACAATCATTCATCTAATTGTAGTCCCCAGCCCAAGTTTGTAACATATTTTAATTAATTGGTTGAAAGGTTATCAATATATGATATGTTTCACCTTAATAAAGACAATTATGGATATAAGAAATGAGTATATATATGTATATTCATATTTAGATTAATGTGACATGCTCTATAGGTACAATATTTACTAAATTCTCATGTTAGAAACTTTGGTATTGCTTCACCCAATTGCAGAAAGTGGGCTCCATTCCTCAACTTCTGCTCTCACTCACTCTATAAAATCCATCTTCTCGCTTCACACACCAAAAACTCCATCAGAACTTACAAAACCTTTTTTTTTTCTTTTTTTTTTAATCTCTTGACCTACATTTTCCTTCATCAAGTAATAAAAAAACCCTAACTTTTTGCCCAAGTCAACTTCAAAATGCAGCCGCAAACAGACGTTTTCAGCCTCCATAACTACCTAAACTCCTCGATTTCCTCTCCATATCCTTCTAATTTCCCGATATCTACGCCATTTCCAACCAACGGTCAAAACCCGTACCCGCTCTACGGATTCCAAAGCCCTACATATAATCCACAATCCATGAGCCTAAGCAGCAACAACTCAACATCAGACGAAGCAGAAGAGCAGCAGATGGACAACAATATAATCAACGAGCGGAAGCAGAGAAGGATGATTTCAAACAGAGAATCCGCAAGGAGATCGCGTATGAGGAAGCAAAGACACCTTGACGAGCTTTGGTCACAAGTTATGTGGTTAAGGATCGAGAATCATCAGTTGCTAGATAAGCTTAACAATCTCTCTGAGTCTCACGAAAAAGTTCTTCAAGAGAATGCTCAGCTTAAAGAAGAAACATCTGAGCTTAAGCAAGTGATCAGTAATATGCAAATCCAAAGCCCTTTCTCTTGCTTCAGGGACGATATATTACCCATTGAATAGAGCATTTTTACCCGATTCGTTTATGGAATTTTTGAGTCGGTCTAGTATGTATCTTTTGTATGTCTAGAGATGTTTCAGGGTTTTGATTATACGGCCCTTTACGACGACGTTTTTAGATTGAAGTAAATTTCTAAACTAAAGAAGATTAATTAGTGTTAATGAAGAACAAATATAAGTGGTGTTGGTCAAATCATGAGTCATGTTAGTGATGGGGACACAGTAAGGTGGTGTGGGTTTTGTTTCTTATTACAACAATTTCCAACTACAAACCAACACATGCATACACTTATATATGTTAACATATATTTATGTGTATGGTGACATCACTTATAAATGTTATCATCTTTTGGTTTGTGGATTCATGATGATTTCTTATGTGAAACTTTCTAAATTTGATTATTTTAGGCAAAGACCAAGGAACCTTATCTGTAACTGTTAATCTCAAGACCCACCAAGAACAGTATCTAATCTATGGTTGTGCATCGACATAAGAAAATATTTTCAACTTTACGAAAAGATTTTTGTCGTTAAGATTCTTATTTTCTTGGGGCTAATAATCAAATTGTGACGATTCCATATTTTCTGGATGATACACATAACTTAAAATTCTTTAGAAATATTTTATGAAAATTACTTTTTAGAAAAAGCTTAAACGTTAATTAACATGGAATTATAATATAACTTAAACCAAATATTTAAATGCTGGTGCCATTTTGTGTTGTGTCTGCATTCACTTTGAATGTTCTACAATAGACAAATATAAAACGTTTTTTTTTATAAGATTGGTCAAGAACTCGAATCGACTTTCAGATATATATTAGTATTACTACGTAAACCTAAACCTATCATTCCCTCTCCATGCTCATCGATCTTTCTTTGAAACAGACATATAGACAAAGAAACAAACTTACTTACGAGATCCTCTTTCGTAATGTGGTCAACAAAAGAAACGAACTTTTATTTTCTTTTTCGTGTCATGAGATTCCTTACCAAAAACTTCCGACCCAAGAAACCTTTCCACTCGCATAAATTGTGTCTATAATTCTTTCAAATAATTCAATCAATCTCTCACTTTTTTTTTCTTCGTGGGATCGAGTACGAAGAACTTAATGTAAGTGGAAGACTAAAAGTGTGACAACAAAGAAAGATATATATCTAAACAGCTTTAAGTTCTTCTTTTTCTTTCTTGTCATTCATGAAGACGTATAGATCTTATGTTCTTGTTCTCTATAGACTGAAACCAATGTTTGGTAACGCCAAAATTGTTGAACCAAGTAAATCCGAGGCCAAGAACACATAAACAACTCGAAGACTAAGAAGCTATCGTTGTTTCCCTTAGAAAATCATGCAACAAAAATGGAAGAAAAATAAAGAAAATACATGTAGGGCTTAGTCTCAATACTCACGACATATATATTCGATTACTGAATCTGAGCAGAAAACATTACACTTTAGTTTATTTTTTATTTTTGGGAGGTAAGTCACTATAATAGCATAGTGGTCCTAAAATATCTAAGAATCTTTGGTTCTTTTTCATCTTCCAACAACAGTGGAGTTTCTTTTTTTCGCTTTTAGTTTGTTTTTTTTTCTTTACTTTGCGTATTATATCAAGAATCATCTCAATCTTTGTCTGTATCTTTCTATAAATGTGTGTGTACAAAGTACGAGTGTATCTGAGACCAGAAGATAGTTTTTTTCCTTTCTTTCTTTTTCGTTTCGTACGACAATTGGTTTTTCTTTCTTCGGAAAGTTTTTATTTATTAAAGAATAAAGTTTTTATCTTTTGTTTATACTTTATAACATGTGAATGTTAAAAGAGTTGTTTTTAAGACCCATTTCGAAGAGTTAATTCGATAATATGTAGAAGAATTAACCATCTCCTATTTTTTTTTTTTTTTTTTTTAAAAAAAATCTCCTATTTATTAGGTATACCCTTTTAATCCAAAAAATAGTTAGTCAATTGCAACCACTACAAGAAAATGGAGCATATGTAGCGCCCGAATAACGTTATATAACTCTACTGTAGCGTTTTAACAAGCGCTCTATCATCGCCCGTCATAATAGGTCGGAGACAATATATAGCGGTTTTTTGTTATGCTATCATAAATTTAGTTATTACAGCGATTTCTTTGATGCAATATTTAATAATATAATATCACATACTTTTCGATATAAATAATTATTATTCACTGCATATTTATTTTAAATAAATAACGATTTGAATTTTGAATTTTAATAATTAATTCATAATAAATAGAAAACCAAATCTTTTTATTGATATAAAATTTTAACATAAAAATTCAATGAGACAAGAACAAAAACTATTTCAAGTGGAAAACAAAATACAAGGCAAGCAAGATCGGATTTTTCTTAGGCTTCTATGACAAATGAGATAACAAAAAAATCATGGTTGCTATGGGCACACTTCTTCTTCTTTGCAGTTCACAGAGATGGAATCTAAAACCTGAGCGAAGATGTTCTGTGAGACGAGATGGAATCTAAAACCTGCAAACACCAAGTTCTCATTAACACCTCACAAAGGGGAATCATAAGCATGAAGGAGAATATGTGACAAGTAAGGAGAATCATAAACACAACATATTAACTTAAGACATAGATACAGTTCACTAAAATCTAAGTTAGATTCACATGGAAGAAAGAGATTACTCTATTGTAAGACACATCATAGCCATGAGTTCAAGCTGTTGTCACAGTTGATTCTACCACAACGTTTGCTTTTTCGAAAACTCTATGTAAATTTTCTCAAAACGTAATTATAGCAAAAACATTAAAAATTCTATACTGTACTGCTATTAATACTCTCATTTCCTGTAGTGAACAACGGTCTAAAATATAAAAGTTCGTTTATAAGATAAACTAGTGATCAATTTTTGACTTTTGTGGTGTTAGTTTGAAAAAAGATAGTTCGAATAGATGTACTGTTTACATATTTAATTTGAAACTCAATTGCAATCTTAGGTTATTCAATTATGTCAGAAGTTTACATGAAACATGTTTTTCTTCGTAGAAAAAAGACATGTTAATCAAGTTTTAATTGTTGTTATGGTGGGGGTTATTGGATGAATAAGTTTAAATTAGGAGTAATAGATGTTATTAACAAAAATGGAAGACAAAATAAATGACAACTGGTGGACATCCGTTTAAGTAAATATCGAAATCGTCTAAAATTAACCAAAAATATGGTATTTCCCTTCATTTTATTTGTATAGGACACAAATACTCTTAAATCATCTCTAGTGATTTATTTTTTCTTAAATCCATATGCTAATACACTGACAAAACTACAGTACATATCTTTTTCTTATAAAATAAATGTTAATTTTTTTTCATAAAAAACCGTTCTTACAACAAGTATGACTTAGCAGAAAAGAAACGTAGCGTTTTGTGATTTACACTTTAGATTCGAGAAGAGAACCATGAGGAGGTCCTCATATTTTCCATTTCCCATGTTTCAAAGGATGCTTAGGTTATTTTTGATTGTTTTATCGATGAACTTGTGAAGATGAGTGTCTGGTGAAGGGTGATCGTTATGTCTACGGTTATTCTTTTCTCTCCATATCAAATGAACTGTAGCTTGCAGGGCATATCTCGAGAGCAAAAGGGGCTGTGGAGCAAGCGTTGTACCTGAGATGAGTGTTCGAAGTTGTGACCAACCCGAATTATATTGATTCTTTAGTAGACGTGTGGTGAGTTTTTTCCAAACTTGTTCAGTATAGGGACAACAAATGAAGATGTGGTTTCTTGTCTCTACCAATCCTCCACACAAAGTGCATGATGTGTTTACTCGAAGATTCCGTTTCTCCATTATGTCCTCGTGGAAAGCCTATTATGCATAGCAAGCCAAGTGATAAAAGCAAATTTTGGTGTGCCTTGTGAGAACGACACTCCTTTTTCCCACTCACAAGTTGGTCTTTCGACTCTAAGAAGTTTCCATGTCTCTCGTGTTGAGAGCACAAGTTCAACCAGTTCACACAAGGGATCTACACGCCCAACAACACTCGAAAGCAAGCTTCTTTAGAAGATTATCGAGAAGAGGTCTTTCCACACCAAACAGCACCTGCTTGATCAAATGAAAAGGGAATCACAAAGGATCAAGAGAAGCAGCTCCAAAACGTCAATTAAGATGAAAAGAACCTCCAAAACTCAAGGGAAGGATCAACACATGAAGACTACATGCCAGCACCTACATGGAAGATGCTACGTCAAGATAAGGTAAGTTTTGTTTCAATTCTTAATGTGTTTGCAGGTGGGAACGATTTATCATCATCCTCAACTTAAATTAGAGTGTTTAGATGTCTTATTGTCGAAACCAAAGCCTCCAACATGTGGAGAGGGTTTTAGTTTGCAAAAACTCCAAGTTTCCTTTTCTGTTTTTTTCCTTTTAGTTAATATATATTTTTTTCGTTTAAGTGAGATTAAATCTCGACCCTTGAAAGTCAAGGCTGATGGATATATTAATAAGGTCCCCCTGAAGCCCTTGTAGTCACGTTTTGTTTATCCTAATCAATAAAGACTGAATTTTCTTAAGACAAGCTAGCCGCTCTCTTTTATTCTTCCTTTGCTCTGTCGAGACTAGTACCTCCATAGCTAAAGATTCTTGAATTGTAACATGAGTTTTCCATCACTTGTGTGGTGCTCTTCACTTCCCCTAGTTTGTGTATTCATCGGTTTCAAGAGGAAACGAGTATCTCTTTCTCCTTGTACCACACCTCATGTTCTGGATCCAACACTCTTACACCAAACGTGTATCACGTTTTCAACTCACCAATCTCTACTTCAATTTTATTGAGAGTCTATGCTCGGTGTCTCCTGCTCCGGTGAGTAGTTAGGACGCCTTCAACCGTTTCAAGTTTCACGATACCAAGATCTATGCAGCCTTTATCCCCAAGAACATCAGCCTTCCCCATGACAGATCATTGATCATACCAGAAGGAAGTGTTCTTTCCACTTTGTATTTTCATCTTGTGAAACTCTCTTGTTGTCTCTCTTAGCTTGAGGATCTTTCTCCACATCCACGAGCCCTGGTTTAGTGACGGTTTTATAGTCCAGAAAAGTTTTTGCCTCATAAGATATTGTCTAATTCATTGCCCCCAAAGTGACGTTTTTGCTGCAAGTAACCT